GGTCGCCCATCAGATTCTTCAGTCTGTTCATTTCTCTTTCTATATCATGATAGGTTCCATATGCGTTCCAGTCTCTCTCTCTCTCTCTCTCTCTCTCTTTCTTTCTTTCTCGGTAGTCAATATCCATTCTTGTTCTTCTTCTTCTTCTCTCTTACATTACATGAGATCTTTTATTTCCCTTCAAAGCGCGGCGCTTTTCGCTGCTCGCAATGCATTGTTCTGCACCTTTTGTGAGGGCGCACCGCGCCGCGCGATCACCCGTCCAATAATATACATCAGGGAAGCCCTCTCGATCACGATCCAAGTCAGACAGATCGATATATACGTGACACGAATGATCGCGATCCATTCAGAACAAAGGGCGGTCTCGCAGTTGGTATATATATATATCGATTTTCTTTATGATTTTTTTGTTGTATAGTTATAAGCCTCATCTACTGCGCGCGCGGCCTCTTGACAACTATTGTCCCGTATTTCAAAAATAAAAGACAGAATTGTTTTAAACGAGACGAACTTGGAGATATATATATAAATATTTTTCGAAATATCTAGCAAAATTGCACTCAAAGATAAATTTTTGCCTTAACACTAATTTAAAAGTATCAAATTGATACCAAAAATATCAAATTGATATAAAAATTTGTATCAATTTGATATTTTTAGTATCAATTTGATACTTTTAAAAAAAATATAATTTTTACCTATAGAATACGGTATAAAAATTATAGGAAACAGATTTTACCCTTTGAGGGTAATAATGTTTTAGCATTATATAGTTAAAATTACACGGTGCAACAGCATATTTTTATTTCTGGGACCGCATAGGGTGATTCTTAAGGTTTTTTGACGCTGAACACAAATCCGTAATTAGAATTGCTCAATCACTCATAGATTTTCGAAAAAGACCTTGAAAATTGTAAAATGCCGTTTTTAAGGTACCACTTAATTGTTCAAATGGTTTTTATGAATTTTATTTTGTGAGAAACATATACACACAGAAGCAAAATAAGTTTAGGAATATATTATATACAGAATGATTGTATCTATATGAAAGATACTTTTGGTTGACTTTATGCCTAATCTCCTGGTAGCGTCTTCCCCACACAGTTTCCATGGATCCCGTCGGATTAACGTCCACTATTATTGTGACTGATGATTATATGCTAAAGGCGAAGTTATGTACGAAAAGCATGAGCTGATAAGTTGATGCACTTTATATATATATATATGTGTGTATGTATGTATGTTGCGCTATTCTGAAGAAAGGTATCAAAGAAGCAAAAAATTTTAGGTTATTTTTTAAAATTTTTAAATGAATCAAAATCATTAATGTTTAAGTCTTTGTTATCTTATGGGTATATGTTTCTACAATTTATCATTCATTCCATCAGATGTTATTATTTATTTAAATAATTTTTATTATTATTTACAAAGGCCGACAAAATATCGACAATCAGACTGTACTCTCAAAATCTAAAATAGTCACTTTTCACTAATACAACAACGTACTGGTGTCGATTTGGTCATTAATTGAATATATAGTTAGTATAACGAATTTTGCAAAAATTGATTAGATTCGCACTTAAAACTTGTCAATTGGGAGTTTTTTGAGTCACGCTAACGTCTTTTTTTGAACTTTTTAGATTATATAGAATATCTCGAAACCCCCAAGTGCTAGGTCAATTTTGAGGTCAGATACGGATTCAGTATACGACAAAATATACTTTTGGAAAAGTATAATACAGTCGTGTCTCCGTACCGTGCAGTTTTCTGAAATTTCCCTGTCTCCATGATTCCATATCGTGCGGCTCTGAAATCACCCCTATACTGCACACACCTTTTCAGGCTCGTCTTGAGAAGGTACTTTGCGGATGCCACACAAGTATAACTTCAATTTTATTGAAAAGGGATTTTTGTTTTATAAAATAATTTCACGTTTTTAACAAATAGATAAATATATCTTTATTTTTTTAAATTAACAAATAAATACAAATTTTTAATTATTTATATTTTTTTCTTTACGATCGGTCTTTGGAATACGGCACTGAAAGTTGGTGACGTCATTGCACACTATGAAATCACGGCAGTGGTTAGAAGGTGCACGGTATGGAAAAACGCACGATACGGAGACACGGTACTGTATTGTTTTTAGTTCTGAAGTATATAGGCAAAAATTTTGTCCGCCTGTGTTATATTATAACACAGAAAAATATAAGGTATTAAAATAATAAGCGTTGCAGCTTATTTTAATGCCTTTTAATTTTCTGTGAATTTAACGTACGTTCATATTGGAATATCGGATACCGATATCGGGGCTTGTTGGATATGCGGATGTCGCGATAAGCATTGGGATAGTGCGTTTTTAAAATAAATCTAATTTTATTTGTTCGTAAAATATTTCATTTTTTTTTAATTTCTATTAATTAATTAATATCTCGGAAACAAAAATTATTTGCACCTCGAAATTTTCAATATTTATTATATAATGGTAATAATAATAGTAATTTTTAATTAAAATAAAAAGAAAGTTATATTACAAACCCGTTATAAAATAACACGATCTTGTTATCTTGTTCTTGACCAAAAAACATTCATTGCTTCATTTTATATATATAGTTACCAAACCCACAATCATGTTTAGTATAAAATATTAATTCAAAAATTGATTAGACAGTCATTGAATGATTAAGTCAAAATTTGTAAAAGTTTATATATATATATATATTATATCTCTCAAGTACTATATGTTTGAGAGCACAAATCTTTATCGATTTATGGAATTAATTATATTAATATTAATATATAAATTCAGAGAGCGGCATAAAAATAAAATAACCATGTATACAAAGGAATAGTTTAGTTACAATTGTGTAAGCATATATACAGATTCATCAAAGAAATAATGCCGGATCTTTGAAGATCATGGCCACCCTGTACGTCAAATTCCAAAGGAGATCGCTTTATCTTTCTGTTAATACATCATCGACATCAATTTCAAGATGCTATATATACAATATATATATATATCAGTCTATCGGATCAAAACCCTTTGTTATAAGATATCTGCACACCCGCAGTATTTTATTGTTAAATTATATATTTATTAGCAATTCGATCAAATAAGACGGGAAACTAACCTCAAAATTTAAAGTTAAAAAAGTTGCAAATAAATATTTTTCTTTCATTTGAACGTTCAAAATCAGCACAACTGCATATTCTGAAAGACTTTTTATTTCAAAAATTTTAAAATTAAAACTGGACCCTGGGTCTAGTAGACCCGAGCAATTTTTCGAGCTCAAATTAATTGAATGCTTGTAGCTATTGAATATTTTTTATATTTTAATATATTAGTTTGACATAATCTTAGTAATTTTCTAAGTTTTTTGATGCAACTAATTCGATACAAAAGAATAAATCAGCTTCAAACATTAATAATTATAAATATTTAATATTAACCTAGAAAGTCATATTTTATTCTGCAAAATAAATACCATTTTTGCAAGTCCTGCTGTTGTGGTAATTTTTTCTTTAACTAACTTAACTAACTTAAAATAAATTAATTCATGTAAAACTAATTACGTTTTAAAAAACACATCATAAGCTACCTCAGATTAAATTTTTGTGCAAAAATATTCAATACCGGCTGTATAATATATACGTCTGAATACGTCGGGTCCAGCAGACCCGTTGTGCCATTTATTACGTTCGAACGCGGAATTGTGCCAGTTAAGGGTTAATATAACTTTTTTCAAAATGAAGAAAACTCTGATGTTTTCGTACTATTTAGTCATATGAAACTTACTAGTTTCTGACCGTAATTAATATTTAAAATTAATATGGACTTTATTAATTTTTAGTATTGTATAGTACGAAAACAGAGTTTTCCCCATTTTGAAATAAATTATATATTAATTTTTGAAATAAAAAGTCTTTCAGTGTATATGGGCAAATCCACGAAACTTTTAACTTTCAAGGAAAAAAAAATTCCTTTTTTTAATTTGCAGGCACGCACATTGATGTCACTTTGTATACACGTTAAAGTACATTTAGCACTACAAATTCAACTTTTTTTATTTTTGATATCGGAGTGGTTTCCAAAGTATTTTCGTCATCTGAACACGATTCTGGCGCACCCAAATTTGTTTAGCACGTCAGGATTTTGAGAAAAGAGGGGGTAAAGACTCCAAAAAAGTGTTTTCAGCATAATTTTTAATTTAATAAAATTTATTTCACTCAAAATCCTTAAGCGGCGTTTTTGTGTTCAAATATGTGTATGAAAATGTTTCGATCACACCATACAGGTTGACCTGTTTAAAGCAAAAATGCAGTTGTGCCTTTCAAAAATGTATAAATTTAAATAAAATCACAATTTTTATTATCATCTTTAAATTGTTAACACAGGAATACAATTAGAGGCACATCATTGAAAAAGGTCTTAAAATTTTTGTTTTTTCATCACCTTTTAAGAAATGCATTAAACTTTTATTTTTATTCAACGCCGTAATAGATATTTTCATAAGAAGACGTTCAATTGAATTTTTTTAAAAAGTGCTATCACTCAATCAAACCTTCGTATTTTTAGTTTTAGTGGTGGCACACTATAATGGGATAGTGAAAATTTTTTGACAAAATATGTCTGTTAGATATTCCCATAGTAGCTGAAGTGATATTTTACACGCCGCAAAAATAAAAACGTTAAGAATATAAACTTTTTCAAGAAATTCAAATGAAATTTAAGCATTATTTTTCACTTTTTAACTTATAAAACTAATTGTCAAATAAATATTTTGTTCTAATACTGTACATAAATGTTCCTTTGTATATAATTTAGCAAAAAAAAAAAAAAAAGATGATAACCAAATTTTTAATTTAAAATAATTCAGATTTTTAAGTGTTCGATTCGAGAATCACAAAAGTTAAAAGTTTCATGGATTTGCCCATATAAAAATACGAAAAATACATATAATATACTATATATATAATTAAATTTTTAATCTTACCTTTTCATGTGTAGAATTAATGGCTTTTAAGGCTTTCAATTTTTCGATATCATCGTCAGATTCCTTTTCCAAGGACTTATCCGGACTTGTTGGTTCCACAATGGTGAATCCTAAATCTACATCTTGCTTCCAAAGAACTTCTATCAAATCCATATCCTGTAACAAAAAGATTTTAATCAATACAGGTATATATTTACATATATGTATATCTATATCTGTTTCGAATTTATATATAATATAACTTTAAAATTTTGCTTCCTCGTGGAGAAAGCTTTGTACTCCTTTCGTTTATAAAAATTTTCAAAGTGGCGGAAACAAATGTTTCTCTATATAGAAACATATGTTATATGAGATCCTGATCAATTATCCGGATGTATGTATGTGTGTGTGGATCCCTTTTATGTTTAGACGATAACTTTAACAGGTTTTAATGGACTTAGATAAAATTTGATAGGCTTATTTATCATATTAATCTCAAAACTGACCAAAGGATTTTAAAAAATACAAAAAAAAAAAAAATTTTTATCGTCTTTTTTCAAAAAAAATTTTTAAATAGAAAAATTTAAGGTTATATATAATATAATCGTATTCCTTACGTAAAGACAAATCTATCAATATATATAAAGTATAGTTTTAATTTAAATTTAAAGAATTAATGAAGATTAAAAAATCAAAAATTCACATTTTGGCTCTAAAATTTTGTGATTATATTTAAATTTAAGTTTATAGATGAAATAATTGTATTCCTTGCATGAAAACGAATCGATTGGTATATATAAAGTTTACATTTGAGGTAAATTTAATAAATTAATGAAAGTTAAAAAATAAAAATTTCACTCTCTAAATTATTGAATCAGTAAATTTCACTGCTAATCAGCAGTTATAAGTATATACCAAACCAGTGAAATTTCACTGACCCAATCAGTCAAATTTCACTGGTTTGGTATACTTATAACTGATTAGCAGTGAAATTCACTGATTCAAATTTATAGAGAGCACATTATAGCTGAAAAATTTTGTATTTATTTAAATTCAAGTTTAAATATAAAATAATTGTGTTCCTTGCATTGAAACGAATCGATATAATTGTAAATAATTATAAATTATATATTATTTTTCATTAATTTTTAGAAATTTCAGCTAAAATGGGAATTTTTGATTTTTTAACTTCCATTAATTCTTTAAATTGAACTCAAATGTATATAGGTACTCTAATGTTTATGGGTGATTCTCTCAAAAAGAACAAATTATTTGTGCACAATTTTGGACGAGGTTTTTGTTAAAAAATAATAACATTAATTTCAATTAATAAACATTCTCCCAGCCATACGATAAAATTCAACAAATTTTTATGGAATCACTAAAGAAAATTTCAAAAAAATGTCAAACAACTGAATTATTGAATGAAAACTAGTGTTAAAACTCCATTCCGTAACATCAGTTTTTATTCAATATTTCAGTTATTTTAGTACCTTTTTTTAAAATTTTCTTTAGTGGTCCGATTGAAAATTGTTAAATCCTAACGTATGGCTGACAGAATTTTAAATAATTTCAATTAATTTTCATATTTTTAACAAAATATCTTAAAAGCGTAATTTGTCCTTTTTGAGAGAATCACCCTTATATTATTATATTATTTTTGTATGTTTATTTCAATGTTAACACAGAAAATTAAAAGGCATTAAAATAAGCTGCAACGCTTATTATTTTAATCCAATTTTGCTTATTTTAATACCAAAATGAATTAAAATATATATATTAAATAAAATAAATAAATATTATTAAATATTATTTATATATTAAAATATATTTTAATTCATTTTGGTATTAAAATAAGCAAAATTTGATTAAAATAATAAGCGTTGCAGCTTATTTTAATACCTTATAATTTTCTGTGAATGCTTTCTCCACGAGGAAGCAAATTTTTTCGCTGATCGTAAAGAGGAAGCAAAATGTTCATGTAATGAACATCTGAATTTACAACTTGTTTTATATTAATGTCGTATATATCACGTGATAATAATTTTAATCTTCTTTAATTAGTCACCGCGATTATTGAATTCTAAATTATCGAAATTGTAAGGGAAAAACGAGGCTTGTCATTCGTATAACAAAATATATACTTTCCTCGTATAAATGACATCAATATAAATTGACACGCTTTCACCCTCTCTCTCTCTCTCTCTCTCTCTCTCTCTCTCTAACTATATGCGCTTTATAACTGCTGCAACGAATTTTCGAGATTTCTATATTTATACAAATACGAATAAAATCTTTGTAAAAAGCATAAAAAAATAAAAAAAAAATTTAAATAAAAAATTGTGTTTACGCCAAATAAATAGGCTAGTAGGCTGTTAGACAAATATACGTTTATTTAACTCAAATATATTATATATTTGGTTCAAATAAAACATTTCTCTGGGTGCATAATTATTTTTGAGCCGAATTTTTATTTATTCGAATATTAATATTTTGCATAATTTTCGTCAAAACCGATTTTCTATATTATATACATAATTTTTATATAGCCGAAAATTTACTTCACAGAATTTTTATTTGTTCGAATTTTCATTTAACATAATAGGGATTTTAAAGAATTTTTATTGGATTGAATTTCATTGCATAGAATTATCATTTTATTCTTTCAGATGAATTTTCATTTGTTCGAATTATTATTTGAAATAATATAAAAATTATGTAGTATAAAAAATCGGTTTGATGAAAATTCTGCAAAATACTAACTCGAACAAATCAAAATTCGGCTCAAAAAAAAATTTGGACAAATGAAATTCCATAAAATGAAAATTCTAACTAATAATTTTTAGAACATATTCATATGCGTCCCAAAAGTATATGTGAAGTGAGATTGTGTCAGTGCTTCAAGAGACAGCGCCAATTTGAGCTGGTGGCCGCTGAATGAATTGGGAAACAACACAGTTTACTATTTCCTGCTTTTTATTTTTTTTTTTTTAATCATTTTTGAATTAAATTACAGAAAATAAATAAAAGAGCAATGTTCCTTATACCCTTCTATATAATTCCCCACCCCCCCAAAAAAAAAATTAATCCTAAATTTTTTTAATTTCAGAAAAAGTTTTAGATTTCTAAAAAAATTTCTTTTTTCCGCACATAACCTTAAGATTTGAAATTTGAAAAAAATTTCAAATAATTAATAAAACGAAACATAAGTTACAAATAATATAATAATATAAATCAATTTATAAATCCAAAATTCATATTGTAAAAAATACAATAAAAATTATATATATATACATAAAATAGAGAACATGGGATAAATTGACATGAACATATGAGTATTAAAAGTTTTTAAAAATATTAACGTCTCTGATATAGAGAGATTTTTTTCAAGTATTCCTTAAAGGAATATAACCTTTCATAAAAGTTCATTTAAAAAAATTTTTTTTTCAGTTAGATTTGAAGACCATATATCCAAAGAAACATATATATGATTAATGACCGAGAAGTATCGAGTATCGAATGCATCTGGATTGAAGAGCTGATCGAAGAAAGGGACTCAAGACGAAAAAGGGCCTTTGGCGTGACGAGGCACATAATGGTCCCACTGTTGAGCCGTGGGTTTTTAATTGAGCCAATTCGCCGAGTTATTCATATAGTTCGTCCCTCGTTAACCAATATAAGGATTTTCTTCGGTAATCTTAACTTTACATTAATTGATGCAATCAACAATATGTTTTTGTATATAGGACAAAGCGAGCTATGCTTAAAGAATTGAAAACAAAATTATACTTTCTAAGAAGACGACAACAAAAAAGAAGAAATAAATAAAAAAAAAGATAAAAACAACTGTAAACGCACGTTAATTGGTCAATATTTATAATATAATAATAATCAAAATAATAATAATAATACATTATTAATATTATTGTTATTATTATTACTATAATCATATATTATATTAAATGTAAAATTATTAAAGAATACTAAAATACCATTTTTAATATTAAAAATTTTTAAGAAATATATATAATTTCTTTGGATAATAAATATATAAAGTGGAAAATTTATAAACTCGATCAAATATATAAATCTTTATCTAAATTAATGACTAGGTGATTTCTAAAAGTATATATACATTATAATTAATTAGCTTCTATTCACGAAGCAACTAATTACGAAAGACCGTCAAACATTAAAACAAAAATCGTTTACAATTTCCCTGTACAATTGTCATGGTTCATCTCCCAAAATTACAGAAGCGCATCATATCGATGCATATTTTATATATATATATATTCTCTTTTTACAACAACGCGACAACGAGTATTGTTTTCACGAAACTTTCTAAACTTGATTATATTTTATGCAAATCATTAAAAGAATCTTGCGAGAAAGTTTATAATGTTAAAACACCAAGCTAAATTTCACAAATCTATAATTGAAAGAGAGTTACAACTGTTCCCTTCTTTTTTTTTTATTTTATAAATTCAAAACTATTTTTTTTTATTTTCTAATTTCAAAACGATTTTTTTTATTTCATATATAAATCCAAAACGAATTTTTTTTATTTTAAATTTATATAAACCTAAAACAAATTTCATTTAATTTGCTTTTTATAAATTCAAAACGAATTTTTTTTTCATTTTTACATATAGAGAAAAATGTAAAAACGAATAAAAAGTAACTTTTACTATACTTCAAAAGTAAAACCGGAACTGTCTGGAGTTTCTGCGCATTCGGAATAATTTATGATGCTGAAGTCCGCAAAGTTTTTATAAACGAAAACGAAAAAATAATTAGACAATATCCATTAAATTTGGTTAAAATTAAAGTTATTCGGGGGTAACTGGTTTTTATAAAAGTATTAATTTCTTGAAAGTTTGTGCAAATCAAAATTAAAAATAAATTGACATGAAGAAATCATTCTATTTTAATTTTTCGATTTTGAAAACGTTGCGGACTTCAGCCTCATAATAATTTTTACAATTTCTGGCGTCAAAATTGCCAGAAATGCGCGCAGAAACTCATAGAAAAAACGCTGGGTAAATTTTGTTGCGGGTAATTTTCACCAATGCTAATTCACATAGACGGTGACGCCCTCAACTAGGATAAAATTTGTTGCAGGTAATTTTAATTTATACCGATTTTGGGGTAAAAATTCTACTTTGTTTTTACAT